AGCCAAATTGCCTGCTCACAACTTTAATGCCAGTAGCTCACAAAGTAGAATTTTTGCTCACAAGACTCCACAGTTTAGAGGGAACATTGAACACAACCACCATAGACTGTGTCTCCCCCCCTCCCCATGTGGAAGCAGCCATAGAGAGGAAAAGAGGGGTGAAAGAAGACGGAGAAAAGCCAGCCCTTTTCCTGCCACCTGGGAGCAGAGGGGTCTTGGGAGAACATCTTTATTGCATTAAGTCTGTGGGGTGATGACGACAGGGGAACTCCCAGCCACATGAGCAGGAGGAGCAGAGGAGACAGGCAGCCTGCCACGTGGAGTCTCCGTGGGAGCAGCACAGCCTTGTACTCAGACACCACTCTGCCACTGAGCGGGACTCCAGCATAGACACCTTAAAGGACTTCGCCAGGGCCACATTATGATGTTTGTGGCCATAGGCACAGTTGCCTTTGTGGGCCCCTCCCACCATCGTAATAGCAATTAAAGATTGCTTTTGATTTCAAATACTTTTTTTTTTAAATAACAATTTTTATTAAGACAACAACAAACTTATATAACACAAAGGAATACCACAAGATACAAAACCACAATCAGTTAGTTTACATTGCAAGTAGTTCAATTACATATGATGAAATACTTCAACATATCTGGAAGGCACTTTGAATTCAGGTGTTTCGGAGTTGAACACAAACTCTAAGAAAGGAAACCATTTCTTGTGGAGTGGGGAGCTGTGTGTCGAGGTATTTCTTGGGGAAACCACTTCTGACAGTTTATCCATTATATAATACTCCCATAGTTTCAGTCGCCATGCAGAAAGGGTTAGTTTGTTGGTTGATTTCCAGGAGCCAGCGATTGTTACCTTAGCCGCTGTCAACATAACTGAAATGAGATGTTGACTATGTGAAGGGATGTGTGGCGCGTTCCACAGATCAAGAAGTATCAGTTCGGGTTGTAAGGGTATCAGATGGCCTGTAATATCTCTGATGGAGAGAACGACATTAGACCAAAACTTCTGTACGATGGCACATTTCCACCAGCAGTGGATGTATGACCCAATTTCCCCACAAGAACGCCAGCATAGGGGAGAGGATGATTGGGAAAACATATGAAATTTTAAGGGGGTATAGTACCATCTGGTCAAGATTTTATAGCTTTGGTGCTGTATATTTAAGGATTTGGATTGCAACGATGGGGAAGACCAAATGTCGTCCCAGTCCGCCGGTGAGAGGTTGGTTTCGCAATCTTTTTGCCAGGCCTTTTCTGGCCTGATCCAACACTGGCTTCTCTTATGTTCTTATGGATAAGCATATGGAGCAGAGGTCCATCCGTGGCTGTTAGCCACAAGGTATAGATAGGAACTCTCAGTCTGGGGCAAGTGATGCTCTGTATTCTTGGGTGTTGGGAGGACAACAGTGGGAGGGGCTTCTAGTGTCCTGGCCCCACTGCTGGACCTCCCGATGGCCCCTGGTATTTCTGGCCACTGTGTGACACAGGGTGTTGGACTGGATGGGCCTTTGGCCTGATCCAACATTAGCGTCTCTTATGTTCTTATTAAAACATTTTCGTGGGACCCTAAAAGTATTGTGGGTCCCAGGCACTCTGCCTCCTGTGCCTCATGGAGACGTCGGCCTGGGTCTTTGCATACCCGCCCTCTCAGGAGGGAGAGACTGGGGGGTCAGTGGCGCAGCATCCACTCGGGGTGCCAAAGGCCCCAGGTTTAGTCCCCAGGGACTCCCGTTCAAGGGATCATACAGCCCGTGATGCGAGCGACCTCCCCCTGAGAGGCCAGGGAGCTGAGGGCAGCAGCCAGTGCGGACCAAGAGTCTGACCCAGCAGAGGGCAGCCTATGCGCTGATGTGTAAACACAAGTTTTGAAACAGTGGGAGCATCAGTTGCAGGAAGGCGCTTATTCTTCCACTAAGCCCGCAGTGGTTGCTGGTGTGTCTGAATGTTTGATCCACACCACGATGCAAACAGAACACAACTTATGCAAATAGAACACAGCATATACCAGCCACCTGTGCAAGGCATGCTTGCTTCTCAAACCTAGAATTCTGCATGGCTTCAATAAATGTATCATCAGTCTTTCTACTATTTATCCACTTAAAACATCTGGCCCATCTCTTTCCCCCCAAACAAAGGGGCCCAAGGCAGCTTGGTGGTCCTGGGTCTGTCAGCAGGGTACGGACTGAAAGGTAGTCCCTAGAGACAAAGTTGGGGGGGGGGGTTCCCTTCACAATGGCTGATTTCGCACTAGAGCTGCCTCGATGTTGCGCCACCGTTTGCCCCGATACTATTGGTCAATTTCACACCCGAAGCTGCGGGGCTGCATTGTGACTCACAGCTTCGCCCAACGAAACCCAACTAAAGCCCAACTAAAGACTGTAATAGGTGTATGTGTACAGTGTACTCAAGAAACACAACGAACGGCTGGCCAACTGAAATGTATTTTTACTGAAACAGAAAGACAAGATACAGCTGAAATGATACTTAATGAATAAAGAAGATCATTGAAGTCAAACATGTCAACAGAAAAATAGCTGAGATTACATTTTTGAAATTTTGTCCATTGCTATAGAACTGTCAGGTATTTTTATATTTAATAAGAAATAACATGCAAAAATTGTACAACAAAAACCACGGTCCAGGGGCACCTTTAAGACCAGCAAAGTTAATTCCAGGTGTAAGCTTTCGTCTGCATGAATCCTCTGAAGATGTCCGCATGCACACTTTGCAACCCGCTCCTCCTTCCGACAGTTCTTCCGACTCTCCCCCCTGCCTCCTTCCGAATCCCCATCTTCCCCCAGTCTTTCAGTTACCAAGGCTGCAAACACCTCCCCCCAGGCCCTACTGTGTGACACAGAAACCGATTTCCCACAAGCGCTGCTCCGCGCTCGCTCTTCCCTTTTGGCCGGATGGTAGGTGTCAATTTCACACAAGCTGCTGCGTGGCTGCATTTTGCCCTGCAGCTTCGTGTGATTTTCCCCGAGTCTACTCAATCCTGTTTTTTGAGGACTGAGTAGACGTGGGCACGAATCTCAGGGCAAAATGCGCCACGCAGCAGCTTGTGTGAAATTGACACGTACCATCGGGGCCAAAGGGAAAAACGAGCGTGGAGCAACGCTTGTGGGAAATCGGTCAGAGTGTTAGACTGGATGGGCCATTAGCTTGATCCAGCACGGCTTCTCTTATGTTCCCTTATCTCTCTGGGACACCATTATCAACCTATAACATAAATGCAAACCACACTGCCTTCCATAGACTGCAAAACTCTGTAATTCATGTCTGATCAACTTTTTACTTAAATTATTTATTGAGAATTTTTCAAAAATAAAATGACTTCCATGCCATTAAAAATGATTCTGAGTGGTCTAAAGTGATTCTGGGTGGTATGGATCTTATCAAATAATACTGCTGTTTAACCAACCTACCCAATCTGCTTAGCTTAAAAATTGTTGCAGCAGTTATCTACCACAAATGGTATCCAGATGTATCTACTCTGTGTAGACAGCAGAGGAGCAAATTAGATAACACAAGAAGCAGCCCCACCCCGGTGGCCTGTCTATCTCATGAGTATGTTGACTCTTTGATACCTGACAGAGTGTCAAAGCAATGAGCTAACTTCGCTTAGTTTAGGAAGTCTTAGATTCCTCCAAGACAAAGACGGGAAACTGCAGATGTTACAAAACAGCCATGTTTCCACGGCAATGGCATTGGCCCTGATCCTCCGAGCCCCTGAACTTCTTTTCTGAGCAGTGGGAGGAGGCCAGGCTGAACGAAAAGGAGAAATGCTGCCTTCCTCTAAGAAAGCTCGGCCAAAGCGTGACCTCCTTGCAGACTAACATCCTTAGTATGGTTGAGCTGAAGGATCGGAAAACCTCTGTCTCAGATTCACGAGCAAGTCGATTCGTTCCTCATAGCCGGCCTGCAATTCTTCTTTTTCAGAACTGATCAGCAGGTCAAGGTAATTTGAAGTGGTCAAGGGATTGGGCTTTAAGGCAATTTCCTGCAGGCGCCGGAGGTGCCAGGCCAGCTTGTTGATGAGTTCCACCAAGTCGTCTTCCGCTTTTCTACACTCCCGGGTCAGCCACTCGCAGGCACTATGGGCTGTCATGAGCCTTCCACAAGCCCTCTCGAACTTCTCCTTCAGGTGGGCGTAGCTCAGCGTTTATTTCCTGACGCAATAATCCCACTTGTAGCTTTGACTGAAGTGGATGTCCCACCGACATCTGCCAGGGCAAACACAGCAGCGGCCGGAGGATTTGTCCATGGCGGCACATTTCCATTTGTCATGGGGGTTTTCAACCTGACACGGGTAGTGGCACGTCGTGTGGCACTGCTGGCAGTTGGTTATGTGGTAGCCCATCCCAGAGATGTCTATCTTGAAGGGCACCGTTGTCTCCAACTCATACTCAAAATTCCGGTTGGCCTCCATGTCCCCCCGGTGCCTTGCCAGGGCTCTCTGCGTCGTCCGCAGCTCATCCACTTTCACAAGGGCCATTTTGATCTGGGGTCTCATGCCTTGGACTACGGCCTCCAGCTCCTTCCGCTCACGAAGGACCTCGGCTGTCATGGTTAAACTCCGAGGTTCTAAACCGCCTAGGGACCTGAAAAAACGGTCCAGGCTACCGACGCCCATCTGCCAAAACATCTGATTAAAGCGATAACTGTCTTCCTCAGCTTGCTGAACATTACTAGAAAAGAGAGTGGAGTTATTGAACGAGAAGTGGACCGGGACTCCCTTGGCATCTCTGGCGCACGGCACACCGCTGACCCTTACGGCCTCCAGCACCGGCGGCGCCCGCCCGTCCGCAAAGGTGATCAGGACCTGGATGTTCTCTTGGATGTCCTTCCCAAAAATCGATAGGATGGCATCAAAGATGTATTTCTGGGGCTGCGTCAGACGCGGCTGGGAGGCCTGGACAACCACGCAGACGGCATCGATGTGGCCAAAGCCTTGCTTGCTCGAGAAAAACGCCCGGATCTGCTCCTGTAGCATCTTGTCATGCTGGGTGCCTCTCGTGTCCCCGAACCCCGGCGTGTCGATGAGAGTCAGGGAGTAGGGGACTCGCAGCCCCTGGCTCAGGTTGACTTCGTAGGCCGTGAGGGTCTCCGTCTGGCTCACAGCCTGGCTCCTCTTTGGCACGTCCTGGACGACTTTGAACCGGAAGCCATCTTCCCACCGCACACCCAGGACGTAGTTGACCATGCTGTCGATCAGGGTGCTTTTGCCGGCTCCCGTTTCCCCCAGCAAGAGGATCACCTTGTGGTGCAGCCGAGAGGCCTCCTTCCCAAGGCTGTACTTGACGCACGTGGTCGGGGCGCCACAAATGGACTTCTGCAGGGCCAAGGTGTAGACGGAAGGATGGCCGTCCCTCACCTTGCGGCTTGTTCTGAGGACAGAGCGGGCAACGTTTCTTGGCTCTCCTCGGGGATCTCGGCCAGCGGTGGCCAAATCATCCTGCGACTGGACAGACGTGAAGGCCGGAAGGCCCCCCGCATTCTCTGTTTCTTGCCCTGTGCTCTGCCGGCTCCATTTCATACCCCCTTCCTCCTGCCCAACTTCTCTTTCCTCCACACAGCATGTGTTCCTTTCATCCTTCCTGAGGTTGGTATTCTCCTGGGGGACAACGGGAGACGCTCTGTCAGCTTCTTGGGGGGTACTGGGGGGGCTGCGCAGAAGGGTCTTCACGGGACCACGAGCCTCACTGCTTTCACTACACCCTGGTTTGCTCACAGCCGTGCAGCGGAATTCGTACTCGGTGTCTGGGCTCAGCCCCCGGACTGTGGCCACCTCTTCTCGCCCGTTTGTCACCTCCACCGCCCAGTTCTTTTGCCCCACAGCCCTGTGCTCCACCTGAAAGCAGCAGACCGCCTCTGCCCCAGACTCTCCTGGAGTGAGTCTCAGCTGCACGCTGTCTGCGGAGATCTCGCCAATCTCCACAGGGAGAGGTCTGGAGGGAGGCTCAAACCTTGTTCCTCTCCGGTCTCCCTTTTCATACAGGCAAATGGCAGCACCCGGATTGTCGTCATCTGGGATGGAGGCCACCACAAACTGGGTCTTCTCGCTAGATGGATTGGCACAGACGAAACCGGCGAAGGACTCGGCGGCTTCTCTTGCCCTTGTGATGACAGTTTTATCCTCGAGCCATGATGGACAGCTCAGCATCTCTCCGCTTACTTGCACCAAGGGAGAGAGGTGGGCTTCTAACTTGGCTAAGTAGGGCTCCCCTTTGTGCAGTGATGTGAACAGGAATGCAACTACAAAGTCTGTCCTACAATCAAAGACCTTTTCTTCCAGCTGCTTCTTAGGACCAACAATTTCTACATCTTTCAGGACAGAAAGGAGAGAATTCAAAAAAGCAATCTCTCGCTCTCTTGCGTCCAGAAATTCACAAAGTCCTGTGGTGTCAAAGGGGGACTTTCTTTTGCGTTCTAAAACCTCCTCCAGGTCTTCTTCGTCTTTAACTCCTTCCCGGACAAGAGGTATGATTTCTGCTAGCTGTTTCTGGAAAGCCTGTTTGTACTGGCCACACAGATCTTTGAACTGCTGGATTTTCTTCCTAATTTCAAGGAAGGTTTGCACTGTGGGGTCTTTCAAGAGGTCCTCAGATCGTGTTTCGGTTTCTATGAGATCCGCGATCTCATGTTTAATGTTAGAATTCAGGACTGCACTAATCTCATGGAAAGATCTGCGAAACTGCACCTCAGGGTCTTTGTGCTCCAAGTTCATTAGTGGGTACAGACGAACCTTCACTGGCACACCTTTCTCTCCGCTCCAACCCAAAATGGGGAGGTTGCTGTGAATCCGGACGAAATCTTGGAGAGGGACTGGATTGTGCTCTTGAGAGGACCTGCCATCAAATGTCGGGTGAGATGCCTGACTTTGTGCTTTGCCCGTCTCATCTACCTTGAGGCCTCTTTCACCTTGTGTAAGATGCACGGCCTCAGGGCTTCCGATTCCCCCCCCTACATTTTCAAGTGTCGAAACTTCTTTGGCATAATCTTGGAAACTCTGTTCCCCATACCACGCAGCAGTGACCACATGATATCCAGTCGGGTGAGATGCCTGACTTTGTGCTTTGCCCGTCTCATCTACCTTGAGGCCTCTTTCACCTTGTGTAAGAAGCACAGCCTCAGGGCTTCCGATTTCCCCCCCTACATTTTCAGGTGTCGAAACTTCTTTGGCATAATCTTGGAAACTCTGTTCCCCATACCACACAGCAGTGACCACATGAGAAGCCTTGCAGTTCTTAGGGACGGTGTGAAAAGATCCACCTTTGGTTCTCAAGCGGTCCAGCATCAGGTGCTCCACCCTTTCCATAGCCAGGTACTTGTAGGTGACTCTCTCCTGGTACCTGGATTTCTTGCTGCTGAGGAAGTATTTTGCAGCTCCATCCACTTCAAACAAACCACAGAGGATGCTGGTCAGGAGGGAGGGCGGGATCTCCAGGGCAGCGGCTTTCTCTTCAAGGGTGTCCGAAGAAACCTCTTGGAAGGTCTGGCTGGTTAGTGTGGTTTTCTCCGTGTTCTCCTGACGGGTCTCTGGGTCCAGGAGCGAATGTTCTGTAGCATGGAAAGAAAACAGGCAATTGTTGGAGACATGAGTAAAAAGAGTCGGGAGTGAAAGAGGGCAAAAGTGGGGGTCAGGGGCTGAACAGGACCCCAGAGAGATTAAACAAACTCATGGAACAGAAGTTTCTCAGTGGCCACTTGCCATGATGAATAAAGGGAACCTCCACATTCAGACACAGTACACCTCTGAGTTCAAGTGCCAGGAGGCAACATCAGCGGAAGGCCTTGGCCTCGATGCCCTGTCGTTGGCCTTCCAGAGGAACTGGTTGATGATGGTGTTGATGGTCCAGATGCTGGACTGGATATTGATTTTTTTGTTTTAGAATTCTGTCTTGGCCTCTTTCAGTAAACGTGGTTTGGAAAAGTGAGGGGTAACTACTTTAATCAAGGAACAGGACCCAATGAGCTCCAAACCGGGGGGCGGGGTCCTTTTGGGTGAGAGAGTGGTCACATCTGGCCTCTGCACTACCCTGACTTGGCCTTTACTCCCTGCGTGTCCCAGCAGTGAGCGTGCTCTTCTCCAAGCCCGATGGCTCTGGCCCGTGCCACGTGTAACAACCCAGGGAGTTACCTGAGAGGAGGGCGTCCCGGAAGCAGTCGTACAGCATCCCCAGCTGAAACGGGCGGCCCAGGGCAGGCATCTCCAGGGTGGGATCGGGGCCAGACATTGTTCGGAAGCTCTTGCCTAAAATGGAGATTGAAAGTGAAGCCTTTCAACACCAGAGCCGATAAACAGGGATCTCCCCCCCCTCCCCCAAAAGACTAGACCTCAGGGGCATCCAATAAAGCTGATGGTCAGTAGGCTCAGGATGGACAAAAGGGAATGCTACTTTGCACAGAGAGTGATTAAAATGTGGAACTGGCTGCCAGAGGATGGCTTGAAGACGGGATTAGAGAGACTCCTGGAGGATAAGTCTATTAGTGGCCTCTATGCCTGATTGTTGGCCCTCCAGAGGAACTGGTTGGCCGCTGTGTGAGATGGGAGGCTGGACTAGATGGACCTGCACTTGTCTGATCCAGCAAGGCTCCCCTGATGTTGTTCTCAGGGGAAGGCCTCGGCCTCTCTGCCCTGTTGTTGGCCCTCCAGAGGAAATGGCCTGCCCCTGTGTGAGGCGGGATGCTGGACTAGAGGGACCCTCCCTGGTCTGACCCAGCAGGGCTGATGTCCTTATCAGGGGAAGGCCTCGGCCTCTCTGCCCTGTTGTTGGCCTTCCAGAGGAACCAGT